GACGTGGCATAGGCACGGATCAAGGACAACATCGTGTCCTTGTGATCTACATCAAAGGAAACGCCCAGCCACAGCAGCCCGCCATGCTGAGACAAGGGGAAAGACACAACAGGACCAAAGTAAAAGTCCACGGCCAGGCTCCTCAGCCGCGGCATCCGCAGCACAGAACGCAGTTGCTTCTCGCTTGGTTGAGACAGTGTGAGCTTTTCTAGTTGAAACGGGAGGTCCGGGTGGTCAGCTAAGTCGTTTTCACATTTGATGATTAGTTTTTTGAGTGACGACATTTTCCCCACCTCTTCTAAGACTTCTAGTCCAGCTTGGCCCGATATCCCCAGCTCCTCAAGGTACGGCGCCATGAGACGCAGCAGATTCTCCGAGTCGTGACCATTTAAGTTTTGAAGAATGCGTATATTTTTCCAGCGCCGCCCGTGTCGCAGGATGTCGTCCACCTTCAGCTGGCCGTTGTCGTCAAGATCATCCTCGTCTTCAATTGAGAGAGTGGAGAGCCTTGGGGGTCCAACAACATCAACCTGTGAAGAAAAGCAGGTAGATATACAGGGCGGTCTGTCAGCCCCGTTCTTTCTTTTGATTATACTGTACCGGATGCAGGCGTGCAAGCGGTATTGCCTATCGTCGCATAGTCAGGCGCCTTATACCGTCGTGTGAGTATGCAACCCATAACCCATCCACACGCCTGCATCCGTAACAGTATAACTAGAAGGAAGAACGAGGCTGACGGACCAACCGCCTGTAAGTACAAAATAAGGGGGTAAGCCCCCACACCACCCCAAACACTACACTGATTGGTAGATGGTAGTTCCTTAAGTTAGAAGATTACCTTCTGCAGTTGGCCGCCCGCATGCAGCTGAAGCAGCAGAAGAGGTATCACGTGGTCAATGGGCCCCTCCTTCACGGAGGCCCTCCAGCTGGCCACACCTTCCTCGGCAACGACATCGCACTTCTTGGTGTTGAGCAGGCGGGCGCTGCCCTCCAGGAGCACCGCCAGCTCCATGTGCTTCACCGCGAGCTCGGGCGTCGTGGTGCCCTCCTCGCCTGCCGTCCCCCGCTGCAGGTTCGCGAGAGCCTCTTCCATTTGGTGGAGCTGGGCGACCGATGAGTCGAGCTGACGATTCAGGGCCTCCACCGCCATGGGGACCAGCTGCCGCAGCTGCTGCACCACCTTCCTTCCCGCGTCCACCCCCCGCTCCAGCTGCTGCACATCCTCCCTCCTGGGGACTTTGCGTGGTGGGCCACCCACAGCCTCCTCTATCATCCGAATCATGAAGATGTTGTCGGGGAGGTTGCCAAGACCAGTCAGGAACTATATATGAAAATGAACAATGTGATTTAGTGCTAAAATATCGCTTGTACCACAAAAATGTAATAAAAGTTAAACAAAAGCAAATTACTGTTTGAAATGTACTGTTAGTACATTATTTATTGTATCTCATTATAAAATATAAGTGCGTTCCTCAAACGTTCATATAAGTGTGTTCCTAAAACATTGTACTGACAAAAGAACGCGAAAGAACAACACTGTTGGCCCTATCTTCACCACGCGTTACAAGCAGTAACTGTGCTGTTCTTTCGTCAGACGCAGCATACAGTGATTCATTCAAATTTGTTTTGCTATTGCAGTTTGCCGACTCAACTTGTTCATAAGAACAAAAGGAACATAGAATTATTGTATTCTTTGAGTGATTCCTATGATAGTGATAGTGCAACAAATAAATAAAATAGTGGGATGTTTTAATACTACAGTTAAACTGACCTTCCTGCAAGTTGGACACCTCCTACCCAAGGCAGTATTCTGCAGACAGTCTCTGCAAATGGTGTGTCCACAGGGCAAGCACTTGGGACGATGGATGTCCACATCAAATTCAACGAGGCAAATATCACATTCTGGTGCCGTCTAAATCAAACAAACAAAAGTAACGGATTTCATTGTGAGTGGAGACGTTCAGTATTAATTATGAGATAGGCAAGAAAGAAAACTATTTGAATTGTATACCTGTCTTCAAACTTACAATAATAAAATGCTTCGGCATTATTCTGAATGAGTGAGATGAATATCCAAGAAATGATAGCGGCTCGCTCAGGTGTTGACCAAAGTTTACTATCGTTTACCCGAGAGGACGAAACTCAACTGTTCAGTAGGTTAAAACAAATAGTCCAGATCGAAACTTATTAACAAACACACAGTCACAAAAGAACAAGCAGTAAGTGGCACTTTTTTGTTAGAGCAATATGGTGAAAATTACTGTAGACGGCACTTTAGGGATTAATCAAAACCAAAACAATAAGCGAACAAAACAAACCGACACAAGCAGTATGAGAATATAAGCAGCCAAGTGAGAAGAGATCTATTTTATTTCTCATACTATTATACCTTTCAAAAATTAGGTTTGCAACATGAGTTTACTACTTCAATCTATCAAAAAATAAAGTTTTTAATTGAATTATAACAAACGAGAGAACTACTAAAAAAGGTCCAATGCAAGGTGGATATAGGGGAGGTGGCGGCACTCCGTGCGCTGAGCGCCTCAAACCCGCGCCGTAAGCTGTCCCCGCGGAGCCGAACGCACGATTGCCTACCTCCCAGGCTACGCGGCTGGGCGGCCGCCTGCGGGCATAGGGCGGCGCGCGGTTTTCGGCCCCTAGCTCGCTAGCCGTTAGGTTTACAGGGGTGGTGTAAGCGAGGCGTTTATAG